TATTTATATTGAGTGAAAAGCCCCTTACTCGGAGGTCCGCGGAGCGATCAACTCCCACATTATGCTTATGACAAGGCCTTTCCAAACACCAGTTTATTCTTAGACCCATTTTAAAGTACTTTACCCCGCGAGAAAAGGGCCTTTTCCCCTTTAAGTGGCTTATCGCAAAAATAAACTGAAAAAAAAAAAAAAAAAAAAACGAAAGGAAAGGAATTGTAAGTATCTGATAAGTAAACCGTCGAAAAAAGCCTTTTTCCGGTTTGTAACTTTCGCTGACTAGTTTATGAAAAAAAATATCGTCTACGTAAGCGGCAAAATCGATCTTAAAATAACCTGTTGTGTGAAAACGTCGTGACACGCGAAACTTGTCCGGCAATCAAATCATATATTTCTTTGTAAATGTTCGAGTGTTTGGACAGACGAATCTTGTGCGACATTGATACATCTCAGGGTGTAATCTCAAGGTGTAATCTCTCAATCTCCGTCGCGTGTTCTCTTTCTGTTTATGTGGGTCTTTTGGCGATAATCCCATACACATGGACTCATACTCAGTACCTCCCACGATATGAAAGTAGGAAATGGTGCCACTTCACCACCAAACCTCCGCAATATCAGACAACGTGGACATCAATTGGATTTAGAGCCACGTGTCGGAATTACAGAGGAATGCGTATTACAGAAGTTAGGAAGAGGTTAGGTTGAGATGTTTGGGATCAACAGAACTGTCAGCCAACTCGTTTACCACAGTACCTCGCATATGCAGCTAAGGTTAATGGCAAAAGAGATATTGAACTATGTTGAACCGGGAAATACTCGCAATGACGTCAGTGCTAGACAAAGCATCCGGTTATGCAATCAGTTTCTATCTTTCATAATTTTTCCCCCGAAAAAACACTCTTACTTGTTTGAATCTTTATATCGTGTTTCAGGTATGATACAGTATGTATTTTAAACGAGACGGTTATTGAAACTCGAGTAAAACCACAGACAACTTTGCTATATATAGTTCAAAACTGCAAAAATTTTTGTAACCCATAAAATATAATCACGGAAGTGTGTGGTCTAATTTTAAGCCTTTGCAACTGCCATTATTGACATTTTCGTCACGATAAGGATCTTAGCATCTAAAATTATCTTTTAAAGCCAAAAAAAATCATAGAACCTTCAAAAACACTGCCAAAAGAGTGCTGCGTTGTCTGGTCTCAAAGTCAGGGATGTTTGGTGGACTGGACAAATAATCCAGCTGTATTCGAGGGTTGAGCTAAACTTCAGGAAACTGGGCCGGGTACTAACACGTTACAGAATAACAACAGCTGTGCTATTGTGTTAGCTTCTGGTCCGACATATAGTATGTAAAAAAGTGAACGGATATTCTGTAGTTTCTGTAAACGAAAAAATGGATGAGGAAAGTTGTGAAGGGCATTTAACTTTAACAAGACCCTACGTTGATAATCACGGTGCCGTAAAGCTTGCAGATTTATTGTTTGGTCTTCGCATTTCAGACCTATCGAAAGTGAAAGAGTTTGTAAGTTATGAAGACCGAAATTTCTACTTTAAAGGTGTTCTGCCAAACCAAAAGAACAAACAAGGAAATTCCACGGAAGATGAATTCGTGTTGAAGATATTAAACCACGTCGATTCACAGAACATTTCATATGTTAATGCGCAGAACGCAGTTTTACTTTATTTGAAAGAACATGGCTTCGTTTGCCCTGTTCCCATGAGGTCTTTAAGTGATAAACTCACAATGGAATGCGAGTTGTCATCTTATGGTTTAAGTGTCAGTGAGGGAAACGCCAAAATACAGAAGCTGCCTCGAAGAATTAATGCTGTTCGACTTCTGAGCTACGTGCCTGGGAAGCTCCTCAAAGATGTTCGTTGCACGAATGATCTTCTCTTCAATCTGGGTCGTTACATAGCGAAGATGAATAAAGTTTTGAAGGTACAAAATTTTTTTTTGGCTTGGTTGTTGTTGTTGTTGTTTTTTTGTTTTTTTTCAGTGAAGGTAATTTTTACGAACGGAGCAGATGTGCTGAACAGATGCAGTTGTGTATGCAGGGGAATGGTCAAACTTCAGTCCTCTAGAGGAAACAAAACCAAGTTGTTGTCGTAACAGTCAAAATAAATGCCAATGTGAAAAGATCCCCACACTCATAGAATGACCCTTAATGTCCATCACTCGTAAAAGTTTGTAAATGTTTGGTGGGGATTTGGCTGTGCAGGTTAAATATTTTTGAAAGGTGAAGGACAAAACGAAGCCGTTGAGGGCGTTTGACTTCTTCTGGAATCTGTGATTTCCTTCCTGCTCGTAATATAGGGGTGCGTGGTATAGCAAGGTGGTCTGTAATAAAGGACCAAGGGCAGGTTTAGTCCTTACTGTCGCCTAATAATTGTGAAGGAAACGATCTTTTTTTTCCCATTTACGAGGGAAATGGAAATGAAAAATTGAAAAATTTTCCCTTTGCACCCGCTTCCTATCATCCACCAACCCACCTTCACCTCTGTAAGTAGCACTAAGTATAGCTCCATCCTTCTCCTGCTCAGTTCAGATTAGGATCGGAGGTTGAGGCTTGAACCTGGCCGACACGTCACTTTGATTCTGAATCAGTTGTGAACAGGATAATTTTGCTGGGGTCGGGAAGTACAATACGTATCAATACTTCTAGGAACACATATGTTTTTTTAGCTACAGATAAGAGTGATTAAATATTTTAGTAAAGTAAGGTTGCTGTCTTTACGCAGAATTTTCAACATGCAGGCCTCTGTGATCTTGTGAAACAAGAATGGGACTTGGCTCAGTTAAATGTCCTTGAAAGATACATATCCGTTGCAAGCCAGGATATTTCAGAATTTAATCTCCTTCAACATGTCTACAAGAAGTTTGTCAATGGAGTAATCCCAAAGCTTGGTGATCTAGATAAACATGTTATCCATGGTGACCTTAATGATGAGAACGTACTGGTCGTTCCAACTCAGCGTGGCGATAGTCATGAAATAGCAGGTATACTTGATTTTGGGGAAACCTCAGATTCCTACAGAGTGTTTGAAGTTGCGATCTGTATGGCGTACATCATTATGCGCCGAGTCCAACAAGGTGATACACATCTGGAAGCAATCAGAGCTGCAGGTCACGTTTTGAGAGGTTATCAAAGCGTTTACAGTCTCTCCCACTCGGAACTTGAGCTCTTGTATTTGTCAGTAGCCGCTAGGTTCCTTCAGACTTGTGTAATAGGGAGATACAAACAGTCTCTTGAACCTGAGAATTTATACTTGAGCCAAACTTGTCAATTAGGATTAAAAATCCTTTCTTCTTACAATGCTTTTTCAGCAGAAGAAACACTTAATTATTGGTTGTCAACTTAAATGCATAGTAGTAGGCAACTACGTGACATGGAGGCAGCTTTCTGATCAGTTTGTATATCACATGTATGTGGATACATATAGTTTTGTTTGTTTCGCACCGCGAGTTTTAGTGCTACTGGATTAAATGTATACTTGGAAAAACGGCCTACACGAAAGTTACACTCCCACCAAGAACTGTTAACAACTATTGTAAAAATTATTCAACTGAAAATGAAGGTGTACATATCGGTCGACTAAATATAACAATTATAAATCAGAATTAATCGAAATGAAATCGACAAGCTTTGATGTGAAGTATTTTGAAAAATATTTTAATTTCTACCTCATCTTTTAAGTTTCGTTTTTGTTTCATTAAGTGGGTCAAGGTTAGTCTTGATTTGTCCACATAAGTGTTTCCTGTTTTGATATTTTGTTTTAACTTGTACTGGAATTTGTTTTAATCTTTTGTTTTTACTTGTACTTGAGGTTTTGAGTTTACCTGATGCCATTTTAGGAATATTCTTCGCTGCCATTGTCAGATGTTAGTTTTTCATAAGTGGTCGTGTTTGTGATATTATAGCTGACCTTGGTTCGTTATTCTCGTTGAAGTTCCTGTTTGGGTTTGTAAACCAGCGTTTTAGTTTTTCATTGGTTTGTAGCTTCTTTCCGATCGGAACCATGTAGGTTCAGTAATCCCAAAACACTACCCACACCGAGTTCACCTTGATTTTATTCCCACGGCCAGTTAACCCAAACATGTCCAACACTGATGTACAGCTTTGGCTATAAAAACCGCTATACTATACTAGAACTAGCTGGTTAGGATTGAGTAGAGAAGAAGAGTAAGAAGGTTAAGATTAAATGATTGTTAGCAGAAGTCAAACAAGAATAAAGACAAAGATATAAATCAGATTCCTGGTACCTCATCGTGTAGCGAACGAGTTGCTCGAACACACCCCCACAGCTTTCTGCCTGCATCACTGAACATACTTACAATTCTGTTAGGCGTAATCCAGTTTAGTACGAGTTATTTTAACCTACTTTCTGCAAGGCTAAATCGCATTGTTTTCAATGACACAGTTCTTTTTCTATTACTGATTGCTCATGCTAATCACACTTAGTCACCGGTAAGCTTTAATCTGACTGCCTACTTGAAATCTTACGTGTCCGATTTTATCACTAATGAAAACAAGAAAATACAGTCAACTCTTTCGTAACGGACACCTAAAGTTGTTCCCTCTATTTCTTTACTCCCTTTACTTGACTCTCTAGGAGACGGACATCTCTCTTAGGCGGAAAATTATAGTGCCGTTTTCAAATTGCCAGGTACTATGATCTTGACAAGGACCTACTCCAAGTAGACCAACGCCTGTTCAGTCAATTCAACACAACACACGCAGAGAAAAAAAATCAAAACAGCTGCAGAAGTAATTGAAGTATTGCACAATAGCCTTTTGGAAATGATCGCCGCAGAGTAGTTCTCCAAGGTCAGATCTATTCTGGCCGTCATGCCTGCAACATCATCGAAGCGTTCGTTCAGCAGCCTCCGGCCCTTGAAGACCTATCTCCGGAGCACGATAGGACAGAACAGACTTAATAGCCTGGCTATCATCTGTACTGAGCGGTTTTTCATTGCGAACAGTATGGACAGGATAATTAAGATTTTCGGAGAATGCCACGGGAGAAATAACTTTTTTGACAAGTGTCTGATCTTGCTACATCGAGTAGACTGTCGATAGTGATCATAGAGACAGTATACGAGGTTTCAAATAACTACATCTGAAATTACAACCGTTTTACTAAGCGTGATAATTATAATCGCTTTTTTCCTTTTTATACAATATTAGTGGTTTTTATATCCCGATTACAAAACTCAAGAATTCAATAAGTTAGATAATCTACAAGGAGTACTTATTTAACGCGGAATATCTAATACACAGGAGTAAGTATTTTTAGCAAAAAGACAAAAAAAAACACAAAAGGCGCACGTGGTAAATAATAATAAGAAAAATAAGAAAACGGACGGGCGGTGGGTCGTGCGGTCACGTGATTACCAAAAGTTCTCGGATGGGTAGATTACCACATTTTCTTAGGTATGGGGCTACGCCCACGCGCGCGAACGTGGAGCTCCGCTATCATGCTCCCACCGGCACTGTTCACCACATTTGAGCCATGGATGTTTGTCGTTATTTTGTTCATATTGTCCCACTCAAGATGAAAACCTCGTTGCCCTCTCCGGTAATTATCAGGAAACTAAGGGAAATAAAAACCTCATCTAGGGCTTTGGCCAGTGCTGTTTCAAGCTCCAAGCCGAAGACATAGTTCTCACAGTGACGCAGCCTACTGAATACGGTAGTAAGTTGTTTACTGCTATATAAGTGTCGTACAATAGTACATAAGAGGATGTGTTCTGACAAATTCCACTCTCTCCTCGTTACACCACGGCAGATGTCCTGAAAAAGCTTTCAAAAACTCATTAACAATTCATAAAAAACTAAAGAAATTAAAGTTAAATGAGTGTCTTTATATCTGATAAAGACACGGTTAAACTTGACGTCCATTTTCTTAGACCAAAATAACTCCAAGTCTAAACATTAGTGCAACAATGAGTTGTGCTATATCAGAGAGTTTGAAGCCGTTCAAAAATCTCGCAGTTGTGTATTATTAGGTTTAGAAACACTCGGCTTTGCCTCGAGTTTTTTAATCTAATAATACACTCCTGCTGGTTTTTAAACAGTACTAAACAGTGATTAGCTCTATATAAAAGTACCTCAAAATTAACAATGGTTAAATAGTAATCTCTGGTCACCCTTTTTACAGAAGAACATTGACGCCCTTGAACGAGTCCAACGTAGGGCCTCGAAATACGCTCTCCCGATGTCATCTAGGGACTCTCCGTACGGAGAAAGACTGGCAATGCTTGGGTGGTCCAGTCTTCAATCAAGGAGGTCTTATCTATCTTTGCTAGAGTGCTACAAGACTATTCATGGTCTTAATGGCCTTAACTGTAATGATTATTTTGAATTTAACTGTCATGGTAAAACAAGATCAAACCATTCATTAAAATTAACACAGCGATTAGCTAGAGTAAACTGTTTTTTGCACTCATTCGTTGTTAGAATTATTAAACATTGGAACTCTTTTTCCAAAGAGATAGTGCACGAACAGGACTTCAGCATTTTTCGAAGTAAACATAGAAAGTATTGTGAAATTTTGAAAATTTTTTTTTTGCCATTTCTTAATTATTCTTAAATTTACATTGTAGTATATTTATTTTATATTTTATGTAGGTGCGTCCTCGATAGGAATAACCTCTGACGTTTCCATTTATGTATTCTTACATAATAAATATTTGATTTGATTTGATTTAAATATGGCCAATTGACCAACCACAGCGCCCGATTTACTTTTGTCATATTTTATAAAGCTACGTAGGTTATACTTGAGCATGTAATGGACAAGGAATATCTTATACCTGGCCTACCGTATAGATAGAACGATGCGTCCAGTCTTTTCACACCTCTTTACATCTGCATCGCCAGGAATGACATAGTACAGGGACTTCACAAGTTCGAAAGGGAAAAATTCATCTGGTGACTTTACATCCAGATCGTCGGCTGATGGAGGCTGTGGAAGAGGCTTCGACTCCGCTGGATGATACTACGCAGGAGCAGGGCGACATCCATGTACTTGCCTGTGGACTCCAGCTTATATGTTTATGCTGTTGCATCTGCAACGGAGATGCTGGCACTGTAGACCAGGTTGTAAGTGATACAACCTTTGTCATCTGGATTGATCTTGGCAAAGGCGATGAACTGGTTAATCTGATGGTTGTCAAGTCAACAATCGTGAATGCCTTCAGATGTGCAGATGCCTTACGATTCTTATCAGTATCAGTTTTCTAAAAGCTCGTGGGTCTGGCAGGCTATATCACGCAGATAATTTGCGTACTTCAGGTTAAATGATTTACCACAGGATGGATGAAACTGAGCTTCTTTTGCAAACAGATCTTCGTCTTGTACCATGCGATGTAGACGGCTATTACCTAGTTCAAGGGCTCGAAGCTCAATTTGTCTTCCAAGTAGG